GCTCCCGAAGCATGACCACTGACCCAGGTTCCACAGCCTGAAGCGCCAAGATCTCATTGATGTGTGCCTAAAAAACCAATCGCCGATTATTGAATCTGTTTTCCAACAAATCTAATGCCACAGCATAATTGCAATCTGAGATTTCCAGCGACCGAACAGTCTCCAATGCCGAGTCCCGCAGACAGGAACGCAAATGATGGAGCTTTTCTATGTTTGTTAAGTCCGGATGGCTGTCGATGATGGTGTCAAACATTGAATAAAAGTCCGTCAAGTTCGCATACCCGCCGCTAAACGTCGGCAATTGTATAGGAGGCAGGGATGGTACTTGTCTACGGTGAGGTAGAAACTGCGAGCCGGCAAACTCAACCGTAGTGTTTCCTCCAGCCAAGGTAGAATGAAACGGCATGCGGCCGCTACTCTTAGCCATTTCCCTCATAATCGCCGACTTCAGCGAGCTTGCAAGTGACTGAAAAATGTCACACAAACCACTGTGAATTTCGCTTCGATCCAATTCCTCACGCTCGCCGTGAAACATCTCAAATTTGCCGATCAACTTCTCGACTTGCTCTTGCTTTACCACGAGCATGTAGTAGTCACAGTCGAACGACTCATTCTACCAAGCGGTAGCTAACCTTTTCATTTTCTCGCATAATTCCGTTGACTTAAGCTTCAAAAAAGACAGCCTGTTTTGCTCACTGGTCATTGGAATTTCGTTAGCAGCATTAATTTCCATGGTAGCGGCAGCGTTAGCAGAAAGACCAACGTCTCTAGCGGGAAGATGATCGCAAAGAGTAACACGAGCAATAGACGACAAGAACCGAGCCCAGCAAGCGAACAGCTATGTACCAACTGTATATACAACGGCGACCGGTGTAAGAAACATTTCTTGCGGGAAGATGACCGAAAAGAGAAGCGCAAGCCAACAGCTACGTGCACTACCGAATATGCAGGGGAGGCCGGTGTATATATGTATGGATAACTTATGTGGTCGATGACACTGGTTGAGATGGCAATTAGTTTAGATCTTTGAATGCTATATTAGTTTCTGATTGCACTGATGGATTATTTATTGCACAATCACGTAGGGGTCACCAAATGTTAAGCTATTAAGCGTTTTTAACAACTGTTGCAATTTGAAGTTAATGAAAGTCGAGAGGCTGTTTATAATTCACAATTTATTTGCATATGTAAACCAACTTATCGCGTATGTACATATGGGAATGATTGGGGCGAACGATTGATGCGAGGATATTAGTCTAATAGCTGCGACGATTAGCTCAAGACTGCCCATGCAAGGGCTGACTGGCCAAATTGCCGGTCCCTATCCAGCAAGCTTAGACGCGAGCGAGAGCGTATGATAGCCCGAGAGCGTTAGAGCTGCTCGGGGACGCTGTTAAGCCGAGTCCGAGAGATTGCGACATAGGGAGACGAAAGAATTCCGCTGCATGCACATATGCGGTAGCAAATGATCTTTGCAGTGGGGGCATTGGAAACGACAACACCAAAATGCATTTCCTTTGGGCCGCACCACTGGCAATAATTTAAAATATTTAAGCTGCTTGACCCGACACCGACTGTGATGACATTTCTGCCTTCCTGCTTCGAAACTGTGATGTTGCCTTTTGTGAACCTCTCAAAATTCTCTTCACAAATTCGCTGTCAACGGGTCGGTTTATTGGAAAGTGGAAATCTGCCTCGATTACGCCAACTTAAAAAAGAAAAGGTGCCAAAAATCGTATCTCCAATTATAGACCAATCGTCAAACTCAGCAAAGTTTCAAACTTTCTAGAGCGAATCTTTGCCAGAAAGATCACTAAGCTCATCGCTTTCAGTAATTTCTGCACTCGTGTCTTTGAAAGGCACTCTCAATTAGATGTTGTGTATACTGACTTTGCTAAAGCTGTTGACAAAGTCTGCCACTGTGCCTTAATAGCCAAGCTGCATCGGTTAGGGATTCATTCCTTCCTGCTCAGTTGGTTTAGGTCATATCTTGAGCGTCGAGAGTATGTCGTATTGGTAAATGGAAAGCCTTCGGACCCATTCTTGGCTACCTCCGGCCTTCCACAGGGAAGTGCACTTGGTCCACTTCTCTTCTCAATTTTTATCAACGACATATCTCTCAGCATTCAAGCTTCTGAACATCTGCTTTATGATGATGATCTTTAAATCTTCCGATCGATCAAAGCCTTAGGCGACAGCATCCTTCTTCAGCGCGACCTGGATAGAGTTGCTCGTCGTTGCAGACTTAATTCGCTCGCCCTCAACGTTAGCAAATGTTGCTTTGTTTCCTTTAGCAAGTGTGTCCTCACAGTGCTGGCCTCATATTCTATTGATGGCAATCCTCTCTTTGACCTAGGGGTCTTATTCGACTTAAGATTTTTTTTTGCTGAGCATCTGAATTTGATATTGCCAAAAGCATATGCCATGTTTGGCTTTGTTAAGCGCAATTCATCCCAGTTCAGGGACCCATATACGAGGTTAAGCTTGTACTCATTTTTTGTTCGATCGCGTCTGGAGTACGCTTCCATGGTCTGGAATCCCACTGGTGTCGTTCAAATCTCACGCATCGAAAAACTGCAAAGAAAATGTCTTAAATTTGCACTTCAGCCTCTGCCCTTCTTCATTCCGTTGCCGTCGTATGAGTGCAGATGTCGCCTCGTGCATTTCTCCTCTCTCGAGGATCGAAGGACCATTGCAGCTCAGATCTTTATTTATGACCTTCTAGTGGGTAACATCGATTGTCCTGACCTGCTTAGTAGGATTAGCTTCAGTGCGCCTGCCAGGAGCCTAAGGACCCGTGCCCCCTTTGTAGTTGATCTCCACCGGACCAATTATAACTTTAATGAACTCATTTGTATGGCCCTTCGGCAGCACAATGCGCTGCCAGCTGGGATTCATTTTGACTTTTGCCAGGGGAAGGGAGCCGTCAGACAGTTGCTTGTAGATTTCTTCCTTTTCCATAATTAATTAATTTTATTCATTGTTATTATCTTAAGTTCGAAATAAGTTAGTCTAGCCAGATAAGGATATTTTATTCCGTTGGCGAATAAATAAATAAATAAAAGTTGTCCGACTTACTTTCAAATTCATAAAAATTGGTGCTCACATTCCGCAAGATTGCTTCGTTTTCAAAATGAAAACATTTTCCCCGACGAAATGAAAAATAAACGTTTTTACTTCAACAAAAAGAATCTTAATTGCTAAAGGGAAGAAGAAATGACTTTATTGATAATTGGTCAGGGAAACAACTCTTTTCGTTTTCGTGATAACAGCTGACGCAGTCCGATTTGGTTATCGGTAAAGTCCGCAAAAGTAAGTGAGAACCGTAGCTTGCCTGAATATGCCTTCGTATGGCAATTGGCATCAATTTTATTCCACACTCGCTATTGATATAGATATTTTTTTAATAGTCAACGGGATTTCGCAATTTGTTGATGTTTTGGTTGAATTGGGTCAAGTCATATTTGAGTTTTGATTAGAAATAAATTTGTTATATGGCAATAAAACAAAATAAATTCTATATGTGCAATCAATTTGTAAAGCTCTCATTGGCGGCCGTTTTTTAATTGTAATTCGTACACCCTCTTCAAACAGGCCACCATTCTTTTCTGGGGTGTTCCAAAAATGTCTCATTTTGTCACCACCCTCATGGGACTTGCTGTTTCAATTTACATGGGAGTATGAATAAACAAGTAAATGAAAACAATGAGTACGTACATATGTTGAGGATGTACAAACATATGTAGTCTTCAAAATTTTTTTTAGCTTCTAATAAGGTAACGCGTTTCCTTGGTTGATCTAATATGATCCAATAATATACCAATTTATTATTAAAACTAGTTGAAAATTTATTATTAAGACCAAACATTTGTTATTGCTATAGTCGTCAGCAGTTTTTTCGCAGGATGGTTCCAGTACACAATCATTATATAGATCTACAACTTCATATAAGTAAACCGCCCTAACAGGATTTATAGCTTCGGCTGGAAATTCTCGAGTGACTTCAGGTCGTGCAGCTTCATAGGGCAGAGCATATATGCGTAAATACCGGTTCGCACACACAAAATGCTCTTCCAACATACGACTGTAGGTGTTTTTTAATATTTAATGCTTGGAACGTAATTCGATTAAGCCATTATATTGAGGCTCCAGCGTATTTGATTGTATGCGTGCAAACGTATATTCACACAAACGAAAATTAAATTAAATTTATGTTTTCTGGGCTCACTAACCTTTAGTTAAAATTTGTTTAAGTATTCAAGCAGGCTCCGGTTTTTAATTTCACAAAAGTTTTCCAATATAGTTATTAAAACGCAGAATTGGATGCTTCCGTTTTCACAAAACGCAAGATTTCTCCTTGCAAATTGAAAGCAAACGGCTCTTTATACAGCCAGCTTATCATTTATACAAAATATAAATTATTGATGCATTAACATAAATCTGCACCATTAATAATTCAAGTTAGCTTGTTCTTTATATATATATATAATTTTTTAACAAAATTTAGTTCGAAAATAATTATTCAGGCCAACAACTCTTTTCGTTTTCGTGCAAACAGTTGATGCAGCCTGATTGGGCTATCGGAACGTTGGCAAACATAGATATATGTATATGTATATATATATATGAGCTCAATATTAATAGATAAAATGTGTACGTTAGCTATCAGCTATTTTAGTCTTCAGAATATATGAGAAAATAAAAAATATCGATAACAAAAATTTGTGAAAACGGGAGCACTTAAAAACGAAATGTTTTGACTGAAAACGTAAAACGCAAAAGTTTTACGCTAAAGTTTTCGAAATCCAGATCAACTGCTATATTTTGTAAGTATTTCGGATTTTCAACTATACACGGGTGAAGCCATTCGATATTTTTTCGAACGTAAATCTACTTGCTACATTTATCGGACAAGCTGCCCTTCTCTGACTCTTGGTGTTGATTCTTCGTGGTTAAAAACGTTTCGGGATATAAATAATTGTTCTTAATGCAATATTTAATACAGTATAGGCCCAATAGCTGTACGTCTTACACAGGCTAAGCTATGTGATTTCCGCAATGATATCTGTTTTAAGTTTAAAATATTCATGCGCAATTGTGTTCGTATTACAAAAGGTCCCTTGTATGTATGTACGTGTTGTGTAGTGCTGTTTGCGGCGCTGCGTACACAACACGTCGGGACGACAACTATGTATGTTGACTGCAATCTCAAGTGTAAGCGAGATGACTATTGTTGCTAGAGACGTTTTATGCAGTCTCACAAATACAATGTGACTAGCGCGCGAGCGCTCTAGCAGCCGACTACGCCGACTGTGACATAGCCGACACAAGCATAGATAAAAAAAAAACGAGCTGCCATACATATGTAGAATGAGTATATGATAAAGAATGAAGTAGTGCAAAATATTCCATTTATAAATACATATGTATATGAACTACAAAAACAAATAAATGTGGAGAATTATGTGAAAGAAATTTTTGAAATAGTGCATACGCAGTAGTTGTGACGTCTAATAGTCTACAGTTCATTAGATTCTTTGTTTTGTGTAATAAATTTGAAATAAAGCAAAGTATTTACATTGTCATTTTATATTTTATATACATATGTATATAATAGGGTTAAAATGATTGGGACTAGGTAATGCAAATGCTACATATAAATTAATGTTTCTGAAGCAAAAGTATTTCAATAATAATAATAATATAAAGATAAATTTACTTGTGTCAACTATACAATAAATAAAATGCGGGGCCAATATCGAACCATTCATCAAGCATGCTGAAAGTTTTTTGGTTGTCTAGAAGTGGCTTTACTGCGTATAGTAATTGAATAATGCAAAGAAAAACATAAAAATAGATACGACTAATCGATTTTTGCAAATTAAACGCGTTTTAATTGACCATTGTCGCTACCGGCTAAGAGACTTCGGAACCGGACGATTTGAAAACTGTTGTTTTCAGGCGGTGTTGGTTTTTTTGTTTGCCTTTGGCAGAATATGTCTAATGGATATAGATAGTTCTCCCTAAATCGGAACAGAAAAATAAGAACAATTTAAATTGTAGGACTCTGAACCCGATCCCTAAGCCACAAAGTCATGGATCTGGAAAATACCAATACAAGCGCTAAATTAAAGGCGTCAGCAACTGGAAACGGCATTAATGGATCTGGATCACAAAATCAGCAGCTGTCGTTACATGACGGTGCAACCGCTACAGCAGCAGCTGGGGCTAGAGCAACATCGTCCCAATACCAAGATGATAAAAATATGACGGCACTTGGTGTGACGACAGATATACCAACACTTGCGACGGGACTTGCGACGGCAGTCCTAGACCTTCCTCCACCTTCTGCTACTCTCTCAGAACAAGAAAACGTGGTTATCTCTGAAGCAGCAAAACTTCCACCAGAAGGAGAATCCACGGTTATACCTTCAACACAAGAATCGATTGTGTCGATTGAAACAGAAACATATACATCAGGATGCCCTTCTGTGTCAACTTCTGCCTGTCCAGTATCAGTTTCAATAGGGCCCAGTGCAAGTGATTTCGACTCCGATACGGAACTCTCGATAGTAGCTGCTGCGGCTGCGGCAGCCGTAGCTTCAACGGAGATAGATTTGAAGTCACCATCCTCATCTACAACAGTATCTACACTGGCTTCTGGTGCAGTGCCTTTAGCAAGTACTCAAATCGGATCAGGATTAGGAGCGGGTGCTGTCAACACAAATGGATACAATGCCAATAATAACACATCCAGCAGTGCTCATCTTAGTCTTAACGCAAAACAACAGCGTCAACAAAAGCGACGCCGTGAGCGTGCCCAGCGTCTGCAAGCGGAACGCGATAGTCGGTGTAGCTCAAGTACCTTAAATGGCACATATATTGCTGGATCTATGGGAATCAGTGGATGCAGTGCTGGTAGTGTCAATGTAGCTGTTGCAGGCGTTGTAGGTCAAGGAATCGGAGCCATAGCTACTGGTGCCTCATCAACTGTTCTGATAGGTAGTGGACCGGGAGGACCAGGCAATGGCATGATATACCACATAAATAGCGCGGGCAGCATGGGCGAGGACAGTAATAATTCCAACGGAAATTTTACCAGCAGTAGTAATGGCAGTAACAACCTTCTGCCTCCTACAGATAGTATTGCATCATTATTGTTAAATCCGCCACATTCCCCCGAGTGCAATTCCGGATTAATGGCCACGCCTAGTGACAGCGAAGGCGAATCCCTCGATGAAGATCTTCTTTCAACGTCATCATCATCAACGCTGTTGCTTCCACGTGACAAGCCACCCCCTCGTCCTCCGCCCCCTGTTCGTAGAAAATTACCTCGCTCTCCAGTGCTTGAAGAGGAAATCATCGATGGTTTTGCCATATTGGAGTTTAAAACATATGAAGATCTCGAGGTAAGTTGATTGCAAATTATCGCCCCATTGCTATATTAAGATTTATCACTTATCTTCTACCGAAAATACAGTTCGCTATTAAATTGGGTCAAAAACGAAAGGAGAAGCGCCTATCCGCACTCGAAGAGCTAACGTCAACCTACTGCATTGAGGAAATGAAAATTCCAAAGATCATCGATACTGGTCAACCACATCCACTGCGTGCTAATAGCTTATCCACGCTGTCTGTTAATAACAGCAATCAAAAGGAGAACACTCAGGTTCATCATCGCAATGCTGGCGTTGTCGTTATTAACAACAATTGTACCACATCTAACAGCAATATTAACAGCAGTTGTAGTGCGGTATACATGTTGCCTTCAGCAAGCACAGTTCCCGATACGCAAGCGGAATGTGTAGCACATTGGCGCTCTGAATACGGACAACAGCAAGACCAAATGCAATGCGCCAATAGTGTCAATGTTAAAAGTAACATCAGCAATGAGAATCAAATTAGTAATAGTTGTAGTCAACAAGTGAATCCCGCCAAGCTATCAGGCAAACAATCGGATGACGTTGGTACAGTAGCTAGCCTTATTAACAGTACAACTAATTTTCTAGAGAACGGTAACGAAGCGCTCATTTTGGATATCAGCCGCACAACGGTAACCGTTGGAGTTGGGGAAAATAGAAAAGATTGCATGAAGTTGAGCACGATTAGCGAAAGCTCTAAGATCGACGCCAATAAATCTCACAATCTCCCTGCTAGCATTAATAAAACTGTTGAGTTACCTTGTAATGTTGTAACATCAGTCGATAACCACAACAACAGCATGGAATATATTGGAAAAAAAGGCATAAAATCAAATGATGCTTCTGCAGTAGCAACAGCCACCAATAATCACAAGGGTGTGTGTAAAATATCATCGCAGCCGACGCAAGCTATAGAAGTATGTTTCGAGTTTACCGCATTTTGAGATAAAATAAATACATACAACTTTAATACACCTTAGAAATCAAACCAATCCAAGGATTTAGAAGTCCCCACATCGGCAACCTGCCAAAAGTTGAATATTCAAGATTTAACTAACGGTACAGCGCAGGACGTTCCCACTAATAATAATAAAAAGGACAACGAAGAAAATAATATTTTTATTGAAGTAAGTTTCAAGATATATAAATCTGCAAGAATAACATGAATAAACATTTATGTACCGCCAGGCTCCAAGATGCAGTAGTAAGGGAGATAATAACGTATGTACCTTTAAAGTAAAAGGCATATATTTTTGTATTTACATAAATGTTAATAATTTTCATTCCTCTTTCTAGTGTGATAATGGCTGCGGAGAGAATAAGGTGAGTTTTTTCACTATAGAATTATGTAGTTGAACGGAAAAGCCTAATTTGTTAAAGTTTTTATACACCGTACTCAAAAAGTATAGGATTATTTTCGTTTCAATTAGTTTAGATGTATGTAACAGCCAGAGGGAAACATTTCCCACCCCCATAAAGTATTAGATCGTGGCCAGAAATAACTGTTGCATTTGTTAAGGCAAACAGCTACAAAATTCCAAATTCTCAACTCAACTGCATTATGCATTATCAATTCTTCTTACGTTTCTTGTAAAATTAAATCAATTGTGATTTCGATCACTAGATATTGAAAGCATTTCAGCGCCGGAACAAAAAGTCCGGTTAGCGCAATTTTTTAATTCACAAAAAAATGTAGAACCTAATCGTAGGTTTATGCATTGCACTGTATTTTTTGGACGTTGATATGCAATGACTGCATCCTACCACTACACTTACTAAGAAACTAAGAATGCATTCAAAATACAAATACAACTACAAATACTAATTATTAGAATGGTGTGTGAGGATTAGTAACTTAATATGAGGAAGAGAATGTAATATGGTAGAGGGAATTATAGTCCGAGCATACGACCCTAAACGGTTCGAGGAATAATTCGATCTACAAAGTGAAAGGAAAAACGGTATAGAATTTCTAGGAATCGTGAAGTTTATGCGGCCCAACAGATCAGGGCTGTCTATGTCACCCTATGTCAAGTTGTGCACAAAAATCACACCAAGCATTTTTCTACGGTTAACTAAGGATAGGAGGTATACTAATAGCAGTCTACTAGAGTAAAATGGCAATCTCACACCTGGTCTAAAACGATTAAATTTCATTACTTTGTATTTCGAGGAATTAAGGTGTAACAAGTTTGCTCAACACCGTAACTAAAACTTATTGAGATCGGATTGCAACCGCAAATGAAATAAAATGTCCTTATACTGGACACAGAGTTTAATATCATCCGCATACATGAGAACTCGAGAGTATATTAATACCGAAGGCAAGTCATTAATAAGGAGTGTAAATAGTAAGGGGTCTATATGGCTGCCCTGTGGTACTCCCGAAGAAACCTTGACTGGTGAATAGAGGGAGTTTTGAAGAGGACTCTTTGAGACCTCCATCTCAGGAGGTTGGGCGGACAACCTAAAAGGTCAAGTTTATGTGCTAGAAGGGAATGGTTTACTGAGTCGAATGCTTTACTAATGTCTGTGTAAATACAACCGTCTGTAAGTTACCTTGAAAGCCTTTAATATTAAAAGAGGTAAACTCTAAAAAATCCGTGGTGTTTGGTCGGCGCCTTATAAATCCATGCTGTTTTGGAGATATAAGTGACTTGCAGAGATGTTGCAAGTGCAGAGTTAAAATCTGAAAAATTTTATATATTTTTTTGCGTCAGACTTGCTACCTTTTTTATGGACAGGACTTCCTCCATATCGGTGAAAAGCAAGAAGAATCAATTCACAGGGTGACTAGTTTAAGCAAGAGTCCACACAAAGCCTCGGCGCAGTACCTGTCGAAGATCATGAAGTAGAGAACGTTCATTTAACAAGGGACTGAAAATGCCGTTCGGCCTCGGTAAACCGTATGGGCACGGATGACCAGAGTAGCTTTCCTCAGAATAGGTGGTTTGGAAAAATTGCCGACGTATTACGAAATAATAGCGATGATGGGCTTGCGGAAGTTCTACGCTTACTGTTTACGAAGCAGTAAAACTGTTTAGGGTCCTGAGAAAAACGTATCCTGCATCGAGATAAGTAGTTCTTATAGAATTGAGCATTAAGAACGGAAAAGTTTGACCGAGCTATTACATAGCGAGAGAGAGAAGTAGGAGAACCAACTTCTTGAAATTTGTTATAAAGTCTTGATTTAGACTGGATAACTCTTTGGTAAAGCAAGGGTTTTTCCAAATCGAATCGGACAAGAAAGGGGGACACAAAAATGGGTCAAGGCAATTATAAGTGTTGCAATTTTCTACATAGGAGATCAAAAATTAACAGTTACAACACCTGGCTGGGTAAATAGTTCATTGAGCAGTTCAGTTTTGGGAAGACAAATGGCCAAGAAAATTAAATGTGAGATGTACGGCCATGCAATCCGTAATTAAAAATTACGACTCATTTGATATCACCCTAAAAAAATTAGTATTTAAAAAATTTCGCCACGTCTTTAGGAAGGCCTAAAACCTTTGGCACCCACACAATACTTGAAAACAAAAAAACGCAGAATCATAAAGAATTTTCCCGAATCTGGATCACATAGTATTTCCCGTTGCTCGCTCTCTCTCTCTCTCTCTCTCTCTCTCTCTCTCTCACTCTCTCTCTCACTCTATCTGTCTCACACTCTTGGCAGCCCCTTGGCAGAGTGAGCGAGATCTGAGATATGTGAGAGAGAGAGGGAGTCGCTTAATACATTTAAACGAAAAATCTACTAATTTATTTTACTTGGAAACAAATTACATTTTTAAATCACACGTTTGTATCACTTATTCGGTAGTTTTGAACCAACGGAAGCAGAAATTGAATTAAAATAAAAAAAAAATTTTAAAACCAAAGGTAAATTTTTTCCAATAAGTCCATTTGTGTCTTGTAAACTAATAAAAAGTTCAATATAATCCACTAGTTTTTTTTTTTTTAATTGGTAATTAATTTATATTTTGTGGTACCAATATTACCAATGGGGTAAGAAAAGACTGTGTTATTATTAAACGAGCCTCAAGATCAGTTACAAAATTATGTTAAGACAGCATCAGCACTGCAGCAACGTTTTGCAAATGATATTTCGGCTCGAACTGTTCAACGTCGGCTAAAGGAGATGTCTTTAATAGCAATGAAACCTGATAAAAAGATACTTCTGCATAGTCGATTGAAGAAAGTTCGCTTAAATTGGTTTTATAAAAAAATCAAATTAGGGTGAGCTTGAGTGGAAAAAATTGTTGGGGATTCATATCTAAATATAAAACTGAATCGTTAATTATGATTAAGGGTTTCGACTATTTTTCAACGACAGATGAACATTTTGATAACGGAATTGCACATCAAGTCTCTAAATTGGCCATCTAACTGCCCCGACCTCAATCCGATAGAGATATCTAGGCCAAAAAAAGAAAGCGAAAGCCAAAAAGTCAGGGGAAATTATAGAAGATGTTAGGTTTGAGGATATAACGGATGAATACATATTTGGTTGGATGCCCAATAGCATCAAATTGTAATAAAAACCAACCAAAAATATGAATTAATTTATAATTTGAAAAAAAGTTATGCAGTAATATTGTTTATTATTAGCAAATAGAAAACAAAATATCCTATTGGAAACTATTTAGTTTTTGTTGAAGAAATCGTTTTTATAATTTTACTAAATTTGTGTCCTTTGTTTGATCAAATTTCTAAATGACCGTTGAAAAATATTGTTTCTTGGAACAATATATTTTTTTTAATTATATGAATAATACATCACACAATTTAGTATGTACTTTTGTTAAGAATTGATTTATCGGCAAAAAAAATTAAAATTAGACGAATCGGATAATATTTAAGGAAACCACACGGTGGAGAAGTAAAAATGCATAAAATATCAGATTCCGTTTTTTGTCGCTGGGTGTATGTTTCCCTTTCTCAATATTTACCCCATCACCATTGTGTCTTCCCTCCTGAAAAGTGCAAGGGCAGTTTATAGAGATGAGCGGTCTAACTTGTCCATGTCTTACCGTAATCAGCCCCTTGGCCGCATTCACTCACAAATCAACCTGTATCTTTTTTCAAGAGCAGGCGGTAGTCATCGGCTTTGATACCAGATAGGGAGTTTACGTATTATTACGTAGAAAATGTATTGTTACATAGGTTACATAAAAACATACAGGTACTCTGGTATGTCTGTGCTACAACCCACACCGTCCCTTTTTTTAAATGATTGAACGTTGACATGCAATGACTGCATCTTACAAGTGGCGATGCAATTACTGCACCGTCAAGTGGCCCGTGTGACACCAGCAGAAGGCTGTTACGCGCGGATCCCAGGCAAAACGCAGCCCTCCTCCCACCCAATCGACAGAGGGGCGCTGCCGCATGACGCGCGGCGCGTAACCGAACTGAACGCGAACATGCAGGAAAGATAGTTGTTAGACTAATATTCGACGAAAATGATCACTACACTTACTAAGAAACTAAACACGCGTTCAAAATACAAATACCACTACAGTTACTAATTATTATATAGGTGTGTGAGGATAAGTAACTTAATAAGAGGAAGGGCCCTGTCTGTTTGTCTTTCGCCCTTTGTGGGGACGGAAGTGGGCGGGGCGAAGTTTTGAAATATTCTTGTAGCAGTGACATATCACAGAAGTCTGGATCCAAAACATCGTTGCTCTAGCTCTTATAGTCTTTGAGCTCTAGGCGCTGAAGGGGACGGACAGACAGACATGGCTCAATCGACTCGGCTATTGATGCTGATCAAGAATATATATACTTTATAAGGTAGGAAACGATTCCTTCTGGACGTTACACACATCCACTTTTACCACAAATCTAATATACCCCAATCCTCATTTTGAGTATCGGGTATAAAAACCGGCATTTAAATTAGCCATGTCCAAATTAATATAATGAACTCGAATGTAATATATATAACTAACTACACTACATTCGAACGATTGAACGCATTAATTTGAATGCAATCTATTTTTTTGCCTCTATATTTGGGCAGCAATCAAGAAGAAAAATAGCTGTTTTGTGGTAAAATGATAAAATATCTTGTTTTTTGGGTGCAAGTTTTGCAGACAGTTTCAGAAAACAAAATATAGATAGCAAAACATAGCTAAATATATATTTTATATAATCAGATTTCCGGCTAATATTAATTTTCAAATTTTTGAGAGAACTTGAACTTACAAAATAGTCAGAACTAGCTATACAATAGCTGAATTGGCAACAGTGTCAGATTCGTTCGTTCTCTTAGTGACCAATCGTGTTTTTGTTTTGCGCTCCGCTTCTCTTCCCTTTATTTT